CAGATGGGGAGAAGGACAGGTGGACAGAAAGACAGATGGACAGAAAGACAGATGGGTGGCGTCATACTTTACTATATTTTCGGCGGTAAAGCATCAAAATCCTTCAAAGTGAAACAGTCGGAGCTCACATTACGTGTAGGGGATGACTCTCAGCTACTACCACACCAGACTTTAGCCCATTATCTGTCAAACTGACTGAGGTAAAGATATTTATGTGTCGCTGTGGCGGCCATCTTGAATCACGCTGACTCTAAAAGGCCAGTAATCATTCCTCCACTTTCATTAAAATCCATCCAGGGTTTCAGGAGATATTTTGTTAACACTGCTCAACTTTCATGGCCGTGGGGCAACAATGTAACCGTCATGTTCAGAGGGAAGCCACATGTTTTTAAAGAGGGACAAGGAGCTGAAAACCTACAGATGTTGCAACCAGAAGAGATGTTTTACCGTACGGTGAACACGTGAAACGATCAGTTTATCTGTTCATCACATCTCCTTGGGATGGATCGTAAACTGATAAAAGCGTGACGTTGATTATGAGATGAGCCTGAAATAAACGGACAGAAGAGATGGGCGATAATGTTTTATGATGATAGAAGCCGTTAACACGGCAGAAGCCGGCTGTTGTAAAAGGTAAAGATTAAAACGTTCTGACGGTAAAAACCCATGTGCTGGTGATAAAACCAGATCGTTATTCTGCTCATAACCTTCACCTGAGGAGGTAAAGAGCGTGTGATGGTTGTTACGTAAAAAAACTTGTTAGAGAATTTTTGGTATGAATATGTTTATTGTGTTTCTATAATATGGCTGAGAACATAATTCTCTCCCACTTTGAGTCTGAAACAATCTATTATCTTCACCTGGAGACAGTCTGGCTGACTCGCAGCGCCTCGTTGGTGTTGTCGCCACGAGAACATGCCATAAACATCCTCTTATCTCCAGCTGGAGGTCGACTTGCTGACGGCCATGGATCATGTCTGTGCGTCGGACTGCGGCTGGCTATGAGGGAACTCCTGCTGGACTCTGCTGTTGGATAAAAGTCTGCAGCAAACGCTGTTCGACGCTCATTCCGTGCATTATGTATCTATGTAATCTGTCTTGAATGAGTCCTTGCGAGTAAAATGCTGGTTAAAAATCTTATACCATCGAGTGTGGTTCTTTTTGAGCAACTAAAATAAGCGAGAATATTTTTCTTCAACGTTTTGGTCCTTCGAGGCCAGTCCCAACATCTGACATTGGAACACCAGGCTTGGACCTGAAACTGTGCACGGAGGAGAATTAATGAACCGAAAGTCGTCCAGTTGATTTTAGTGAGGCCAGGTCTGCTGGTGGGTCGAGGCAGGTGACAGAAGTCCCACCAGAGACAAGCCACATGCACTGAGGGTACGGAGCTGATTTTATTCAACATGTTGTTATGATTTGTAACATCTATTTATTGATTTATGTAACATTTGTTATGCTCCATGGCAACAAGGCAGTTTCTACAACCAGGAGCAGCTGATTAACGTCTCAAAAGCTCAAATAATATCTCAACTACAGCCCCAAATCTCAAATGAGTTGAAAAGGATGTTCTGTGGACGCATTCTCATCTACCTGCCGGCTGCGCTCGAGTGCCTGACCACTGAGATCCTGGAACTAGCAGGAAACATGGCTCATGACAGTGGAAGGACCGGATCCACCCTCGGCACCTACAGCAGTCTGTCCGCAGCGACGAGGAGCTCGGCAGACTGCTGGGAGGAGTGGCCATCGCTCTGGGAGGAGTTCTGCCTGGCATTCGGGCGGTCCTGCAGCCCGGGGGAACTGAGAGGCCAACCGAGACTCAGTGGACGGCTCGGACGGCATCTGCAGCCAGTTTCTTAGGATCTACTGTGGGATGGACCTTTACAAGAGATCCTTCCTGTCTACAGCCATCAGCATCTATAACATATCTTAATGAAACGAGTATAACGAGTTACAACAACAAATAATTTCCCTTTGGGATTAAAAAGTATTTTTGAATTGAATTGAATTGAATTGAATTGAATTGAATTGAATTGAATTGAATTGAATTGAATTGAATTGAATTGCTGTATGGAAGTCATGAAGGGACTTTCAATAGACACAGGCCATGAAGGGGTTTCCAGACATTTCTCAGTATTTTTCTCCAACAGTAGTATTAAAAAATTAACCTTCTCTCCTCTGAATCTTTGAATTAAAGGTGAGCGAGTCCTTTCAGTCTGTTTAAAAGCTTCAGAACGTTTCAGTTTTCAATGTTTACCATATAAGGAACAGGTGGAAGCTAACTGGAGCGACATGTTCAACTCGGGTCCTGTAACGAGCGACTCGGGTGTCTTCAGTCTGTCTGGGTGGGTTTCTGTGTAAAGGACTGACCGGATTTGGGCAGCGGATAGGGGACCTTGTAGTACTCCTCAAAGAACTTCAGGATGGGTCCAGTTATGTTGAGGGCGTACTGTCCCTGACCAGCAGCGATGGCTGACCTGCGGGCAAAAATTCTGATCTGAAACACACAAAACACAAAAAACACATCAGTGTCTGTTAAACCTTAAAGGATTTTCAAAGTGAATCTGAACTGTTCAATTAAACAATTCTTCATTTAGGTGAACCGGTTCAAAAAATAAAATTGATTCTTTTAGGAAAACCCAAAGTTTATTTAGTCGTATCCTGGTCCGGATGGAGTATTTGAGTCAAAACATTCCTGCAGAAACCGTCCTGCTCCGAACATGTTGATCAAAATAACCTTTAAATTTCTGAAGTTTAAAATCTTCACCTTTTATTTCACCAACATCATCATGCTAATCTGAATCAAGCTCTGAGTCGGTCACTGACAAACAAGACAAACAGAACCAAAACTGTAAATGATGAGGAGAAAGTTCTGCAGAACCTGCAGACGTGATGGGAGAAAAGTAAAATCTCTTTAAAGTCTGCAGTTCTATGTGTCAGGACATGATAAAACAGTTCCGTCTAAAATGATACTACTCTGACTTCCAACAAAAACACCCAACAGATTCCACCGAGTCATTTTTATAAACAGAAACCAAAAGTCAAAGATTAACATCTGGTTCCAGTCCTGCTGCTTCCACTGGACCTCAGAGGTCCAGGATCAGGACCTGCTGATGAACTGAGCCTCGTCAGGAGGTTCTGCTGCTCTGGAGCAGACCGGTGTGAATTAACACAACACCAAGGTGGAACAACATCAGCAATGACTTTAGAGGAGCAGCTGCTGCTGTCAGTGTGGGAAGGGTCAAAGGTCATTTAGAGTCCATCGTTCTACAGAAAGAAAGATGCTGCACATGGAAACATCTCACACAGCTGACAATTTTTACTGCAGATTCACCCTGAAGGTCAGACTGTGCAGTGTATCTACAGGCCTCAGTCAGCAGGTCAAAGGTCATGACCTCTTCTCTCTAAAAACAACATGGCAGCTTGACTTGAACTTCTGGGACAGAACCAGTCCAAAGCACAGACATTTACCCAGAATGCACTGCAGCAAACAGCTCCTCCCAGCTGTCAGCACGGGGGTGGAGGGCTGATGGCTCGTTTGATAAAATGTCACAACTTTCAATCTTTTAAACATCCTTTGAACAAACGTGAAGCTGATGTGATGCAGCAGCTAAATAACTTTTTTAACATGTTTCAGGATATCAGATTAAGTGAAATTGGACATCAGCTTGTAGATGTTTTTACGACCGTACGGTAAACATTAAACTCACCCTGTAAAAAGGATGTATGTGAAAAACAGCATTCTGTTTCATAAACATCTTTTTGATTAACCAAATGTTTCAGTGACAACAATAAATCTCCAGAAGTTTATAATTATTTTATTATTATATAGTTTAGATGTTGAGCCTGAAACTCGTCCCACATGGTACCGAGAGAATAAGTTCTGTTCAGGTTCTGGTCCTGAATTAATTACCTCGACGTTGTCGATGGTGTTGCCGATGTGAATAAAGTCACTGACGATGAAGGCCAGCAGGTAGGTGGACATCTTCTCCGTTTGTTCAAACACAGTCTGCTGGACATTTTGCCCAGCAATGGTGACGTTCGTTGTTTCTGCAGGAAGAAAAAATAAAAACATGAAAAAGTTGTTTTTGTTATCTTTAATGTTGTTGTTTTTTTACTTTAAACAGAAGTTTGTAATGTGTCTGAGCAGATGATGTAGCATGCTGAGCAAAAACTGAATGTTTGGGTTCTTGAAGATGTTCTTGACCTCATCTGAAGAATCATCCATCAATCAATCAATCAGTTCATCCATCCATCTATTCATCATCTGGTTCTGGACTCAGGTCTCAGGGGCAGCAGTTTGAGCAGGGAGGTTCAGCCACATCTTCCAGCTCTTCTGGAGGACTCCATGTTGTCCCCAGACCAGCTGAGAGACATAGTCTCTCCAGCATGTCCTGGGTCTTCTCCAGGGTCTTGTCTCCGTTGAACATGTCCAGAGCACCAGAGTTCAGGACCATAGGTGAGGGTAGGAACGTAAAGCAGAGAGCTTCTCCTTACAGACCGACTCCCTCTTCACCACAACGGACCGGCACAGAATCCACAATACTGCAGCTGCTGCCTTGACCTGTCTGTCAATTTCTTGCTCCATTCTTCTCTCACTGAGAACAAAACTCTGAGATATTTGAACTCCTCCACTTGAGGCAGAACCCCAACGAGGAGAGGACAGTCCACCCTCTGACTGAGGACCACGGCCTCAGATTTGAAGGTTCTGATCCTCACCCCAGCTGCTTCCATTCAACAACTTAAATTTATTTTATTCCCAAAACTTTTAATTTCATACCTAATGCTTCCTGCAGTCAGAGTTTTCAGACTGACCTATGGCCTTGCCGTTGGAGAGTGCTACGGTTCCGTGCTCGTGGATCAGAGTGATGTTGAAGTACGCCTTCATGGCCGGCTCATCGAAGCAGGGGAACGACTTCCGGGCGTCTGTCGGCTGCATCTGGGTGGTGGCAACAATCCTGACGGGAAGCAAGAGGCGCAACAATTTAACATGCTTGGATAAATTATTTATATAAAATATACGCGTCATGTTCTGACAGTTTGTGCCAGTAATTAAAACAACTGGACAAATTATATTTTCTGTGAATACTCTAAGTGACGCTGCGTACTGAATTTATTAAAGAATGAAAAGTTAAAGTTAGAACAAACAGAAAGGAAGTGAATATAAGCGAAACTTTGCTAAAAAAAAACAAAAACCTAAAATGATCAAAACGTTAAAAAATAGCAAGACATACAAGCTAAAATAGCCAAAACTGAATGAAACTTCAGTGTTTCAAAGGGATTTTAATGTATTTTATGGAGAAAATTCTTGAAAAAGAAAAGTTAAATAATTCAAAAAGATATAAAAGTTACAAAATATAAAAATCATAGCGTGTTCTTCGTCAAGCGGACAGTTTTGAGACATGAACGATTCAAATTGCACAAAGTATGTAGAAGTAGTTTGACTGCAAAAACTGTTCAAAACTATAAACAGCAACATGAAATAATCAGTTATATAAAAACTAAAATGTTTTACTTTGAAATTCATGAATACTTGGATTGAAATGGCATTCCAGCTGATAACAGCTGAAACTCTTCGACCATTGAATTTATAATTAAAGAGTGACAAACGGAATGAACATACTTTCTGACTCCGTCCTCGTCGTCGTACTCGCTCCGGTAGAACCCTCCCAGGTCATCAGCCAGCTCTCCGGTGAAGCTGGTGAAAAGGTGGTACCTCTGTCCCTTCACCAGTGTACCGTCCAGTTGCAGAACCAGGTACTGAGTGACCGTCTGGAGCCAGGAGGACTTGATGGAGGGCGCCTTGGGTGCGCCCTCGGCAGCAGTGAGCATCGCCAGCTCCCCATTGTCCTGTCTGGTGTAGTTCAGCTTGTTGGAGTGGATCAGGACCAGGTCGGTCTCCTCCACACACTCAAACTCCACCACGGAGTCCCCTGAAACACCATGAAACACCACACCCTGGGATTAGATCATCTGAAACATGACACACTGGGATTAGATCATCTG